ATTGAAGTCAAATTAGTCCAATCGAAGTCAAATTAGTACAATCGAAGTCATTCTAGTCCAATCGAAGTCGAATTAGTACAACCAAAGTCAAATTAATATAATCGAAGTCAAATTAGTCTAATTAAAATTAGTACAATCGAAGTCAAAATACTATAATCGAAGTCAAATTAGTACAATCGAAGTCAATTATACGAAAATCGAAGTCAATTTAGTCCAATCGAAGTAAATTACTATAATCGAAATCGAATTAGTCCAATCGAAGTCAAATTAGTAAATCGAAGTCAAATTAATACAATCGAAGTCAAATTAGTACAATCGAAGTCAAATTAGTACAATCGAAATCAAATTAGTCCAATCGAAGTCAAATTAGTCCAATCGAACTCGAATTGCTCAAATCGAAGTCAAATTAGTATAATCAAACTCGAATTAGTCCAATCACAGTTAATTATAGTGTAATCGAACTAGAATTAGTCCAATCGAAGTCCAATTACTATAATCAAAGTCGAATTACTATAATCAAAATCAAATTAGTCCAATCAAACTCGAATTATTCCAATCGAAATCAAATTAGTACAATCGAAGTCAAATTAGTTCAATCAAAGTCAAATTAGTACAATCGAAGTCATTCTAGTCCAATCGAAGTCGAATTAGTACACTTGAAGTCGGAAGCACCGCAAGAAATATTTTCAGCCCAAAAAATTTCCCTAAAAGCATTCTCAAGTAGTGGGATTCGTTGGCGACATGTAGGAAGAATCGAAACTCAATTTCGAGTTTGGACAAGTCCGAACGGTCCCGATATTCGAAGTCGTGCAAGGAAGCCGCCAACTTCAGGTCAAGAGCTTTGAGATAATACGTTTTCAAGAATAGGTTGGATTTGAAAGCATAATTACATAGAAGTCTTCGTTGGCTACATGTAGTAAAAAACAAAATTCAGTTTCGAGTTCGGACGAGCCCAGACGAGCATGAATTTTGCTAGTCTTCTTCTTTTTTTATTCTTTTCCCTCGTTTTAGGCCGGAAGC